TATTTGAAATTTTTCTTTTCTTTGAAATTTTTCGAGATCTTCTGTACGAGTACTTGCCACTTGACAATATTCTATTGAAAATAATTGAAAAACTTTCTAAGTTTTGTGGTAATTCTACACACCCACACCCACACCCTTTAGAGAGAAAGGCCAAAGGAACGATAGAAAAATAGCAAGAGCAATAGAAAGAAGTAGTAAAGCTAAGAATTTACACCCACACTATACCCCCCTAGGATTTCCCCCTCAAGTAAATAATAAGGTAATGAGTTTAGGAGATGAAGAAAGAAGGATATTAAATTATGGTCCCAAGTTTGTACCTGAGAATCCCAAACAGGCCTTAGAAAGACTAGAAGATGAGATTAGAGTAATGAAAGATAAGATAACCGAAGCTTGGAGAAGAGAGACTAAGACAATAGGTAGAAATCCTAAGAAAGTGGAAGAGTTTGCCCTGAGATTAGAAGAGGAGTTGAGAAATAAGATTAATGAGAATAGAATACAGGACCCATTAGTCGAGAAGGCCTTAGAACGTTTTCAAAAGGAACAAAAACAGGGAAAGGTAATTTTCAGACAAACAGATAAATCCAAAGTATTCCACGTAGATAGGCCTGAGACTTATATAGAAAAATCCATAGCGTATATGAAGAAGACAGACGCCTATGAGGAAGTAGAAGAATCCCCCTTAGTTAGTATGATAGAAAAGACAGAAGAGTTGTTAAGGAATTTAGTAAATAGAAAATTATTACCCGGGAAATATTTCGAGAAACTCAAACCAGAACCCCAAGATGCCGAGTTACCCCATCTTTATTATAATCCAAAAGATCATAAGGTAGGAGAACCACTTAGACCAATTGTTTCGGGAATGAAATCACCCACCCAAAAAATCTCGGCTTTTCTTGATCAAATTATTCGTCCCATTTTTGATAAGTTAACCCCATATAGTTTGAAGAATAGTATAGAATTTGTAAAAGAATTACAAAAACATAAGACTACAGACCAGACCATTGTATATACATTTGATATAACAGATTTATATACAATGATACCCCAACAGGAATCAATCTTAGCCATCTGTGAGATGTTAGGTGAGAATAAGATTAATAAGGTCAATGGAGAAATTCCCATTAATACAGTTAGGACCCTCTTTAGACATGTCTTAGAAAATGCGTATTTTGCCCTCCAGTTACCCGGTCAGAATGTTAAGTATTATAAGCAAATAAGAGGAGGTCCCATGGGCTCAGAATGTACTCAAGTCTTAGCTGATGTTTATATGAGAAAGTGGGAGAAACAGTTTAAGGCAGACCAGGATAGAGAAGGGGAATTATACTTTAGATTTAGGGACGATATATTTTTAACTAGTAAGAGAAGTAAGGATGAGATGGATAAGATATTAGTAGAATTAGGTAAGAAAGATAAGAATATAGGATTAACCTTTGAGACAGGCCCCCAAGTAGATTACTTAGATGTAAGAGTAGAAGTAGAAGTTCCCAATTTTAGGACCAAAGTCTATAGAAAGCTAGCTGCCCAACCATATATTTTACCATTTAATTCAGCCCACCCACCCCATGTTATGAAGAATATCCCCTTCTCAGCACTTTTGAGAGTAGTTAGAATATGTTCCCATAGAGAAGATTTAGAAAGAGAAATAGAAAAAGTTAGAATAACCCTTCTTTTGAATAAGTACCCCCCAAATTTTATAGATAAACACTTTAAGAGATTTCTTGAAACATTGACAGGGCAGAAGGATCAAAAATTACTTCTTAGCACGAGACATAATGAGTATAGGGACAAGGTCTTAGACATAGGATGGAATAAAAATGAGAAACCCGGGATTAACTTTAGCAGAGATATCATGGTCCATTTTACGTATACCCCGAGCTTGGCCCGCTTTGGATCTAGATTTCATCAAATTTGGAAGGAAATCTTTGAGGAAACCCCACTGAGTGACATCCCAGTAATCTTTGCCCATAAGTTAACGGATAATTTAAAAAGTATACTAGTTCATAAGAAACCCCCTAAAGCAGCGATTAAGGCATTAGTTGAGAACTTAGAATAGGATTGAGATAGAGGAATAGAGGCCCCCTTCCCGCTTGCTTTTTTGTTTTCTATAGTAGTTACGTCAACAATATCGACGACAAGAACGAAGGACCTGGCCCCTTATTGTTTTTTAGTCTTTCGCTCTTGTATGTTTTGTAATCTTTTGTTGACCTGTTTTTCGTTTTGTTGTTTTGTTGTTTTCTGTACTTTTTTATAATTTTGTGAACTTTTTCATGTGATAGGGATATTTTGAGCTTAGTCCCTCCTTGGCACCCACACTATCGAGATTGTACTTGAGAGATAGAAAAGACTAAGAACGGACTAAGAATAGATAGAATTAAAAGAAAGAGAACGACAACTATCCCCCTCCAATGAGAATAGTGGCCCCAATTAAGAATAGAAAGAATTCCTATTGGACGAGAAGAGAAGAAAGAAACAATTCCCATTAGACGAGAGTAGAAGAAAGGAACGAGAGTAGGATAAAAGGAAAGGAAAGAGCCTTAGATAGTCATTCAATAGCCTGACGAACATTCGAAACGCGTTGCCTTACAAGCTTATTCAATTCACGTATCGTATTATCTTTTTTGTTAAACTTAAATAAAACATTTCAAAAAACACTAAAAAATTATTTAATTCAAAAAACTCTCGTTCAAATATTTATTCACTTATTTTTTCTTACCAAAAAATATTTCCTCATTTTTTCATTTTCCTTAAACAAATTTCACTTCAAAATTAATTCAAATCTTTCTTATTTCATACCAAAACTTATATAAAAAATATTTTTTCTTATTTCACAAAACAAAAACAAAAAATATACTTATTTATTTTATTCAATCTATAAAATTTATCGCTATAAATTTAATCTATAATCTTTTCTTGCTCTAAATCAATAAAATCATTTCTTAAAAACAAATCCACTTGAACTTATTCAATAAAATTTATCAATTCTTTTTTCACTCAAACTATTTACTCAATATATATTATCTATCGCACAATTTAATTTCTATTACTCCACTTAATTTACTAAAAGAAACTAAAGATTCACTTTCATTCTTAAAAAACAATTCTAAAAGGGTGCTTATTTTCACATTCTCTTTTCAACTCATACAAAAATAGAATATTTCATTTTCATTTCTGCAAATATATTTAAAAAAACACTAAAAAACAATTTCAAAAACTAAAAATACAAAAAAACTAAAATAAACTAAGAAATAATAATAAAAAAACAGAATTTATTTATTTATTTATTTATTTATACATATATATATTCATTTATTTACTAATTTATTTATCTATTTATTTGATCTTTACTCTATTTATTTACATCATTGTTAATTCGCTTAAAAATTATACTCACACCCACACATTACCAGTTCAATCATCACCAAATTATCTCAATTGACGAAAAGAATTAACAATGTCATCAATTACAATTATACCACAACCAACAACATATGCAACAACAACAGCAAATAATTTACCAAATATTAATTTACCACCAATGCGTCCATTATATTTACAACCATACGCTCCTCAACAACAACAACCACCAACTTACCATCATCTTAAACAACAAATTCAGCCTAAGCCTATGTTATATGGATCCAATCATCGAAAGCAAAATTATCTACACAAATTTCAAACAGGTACGACTACTACATTTAATGGATATACTAACTTTTCAGGTACACGTACAACTAATTTACCACCACCACCACCACCACGTCGAAATTTACCACCTCCACCACCACCACGTACAATATATCATCATAATCCTTATCATAATAATTATAATAATCGTTATTACCATCATCGTCATCATTATAATAATAATTTTAATAATACCCAAAATTTACCATCATTACTTGATTTAAATCCCTTCCATTTACCATCACGTCATAATACACGTACATTTACCACTGCCCAACATTATCATCCTAATCATCATCAACAACATTATCCCCGTTCATTATCACGATCCCGTTTTCATGTTTTATCCCAATTACCATCAAAATCACGGTCCCGTTCACGTTCTTACCAACGTCCATTACCACCACCAATTAAGCCCCGTCGTATTCATCATCAACAACAACAACAACAATTTAATCGCCACCGATACCAACAACAACAACAACGTCCTACCATACCACCATACAACAATACCAATAATAATATTAATAATAATAATAATAATTACAATGGAATTAAACGTACTTTACAAGGCATTATATTATCTGATTCTATGTGTTCAAGATTACGTACATATGCCATTAAAAAATTACCATTATATGATATTGAATTAAGTTATGAATCAGGTTGTGATATTTATAAAATGATACAATGGTTAAACACACCTGAAGGTCGCGGTACGGTAGGAAATAAAGATTTTCTTCTTTTTTGTTTGGGTACTAATGATGTGGGACGGTACGGTGTCGATGTCTCTCTGCAGCGAGTTAGTGAGCTCATAAGTTTCGTGCGACAGTCATACCCAGGAAACCGGGCCATTGGTTGGTTAGCTTTGTCACCACGATGGAAACCAACGAGATTCGTCTCCGCGGCCAACATCGGACAAATGCATAATCAATTTAATGAGCGTCTTCGGATCTTATCCAAGCAATTGGATTTTGATGTTGTTGACGCGCGTCTAGGACTTGCGGATATGCGTGTAGAAGATGGGCTACATCCATCTAATACCACTGGCAAATGGAAATATGAAGGAGCTACTCGTGAATGGTTCTCTTCTCGTGCTGCCGCACACTATTCTATCTTTTTTCAGCGTCGTCGATTTCCATCAAGATCAACAGCACCAACTACACCAACGACGACAACTACATTATATAATGATAACAATATTAATAATTATAATATGAATATGCAACGGCAGTACCAACCTCGTCCAAATAATAATTATTATTACCAACAGCAACAAAATAGAATCAGGTCTGTCTTTACTTTTTCAAATAATATTAATAGTACTCAGCCCTTCGTAGTTACCTCAGATAGAATAGTAGAACAAAGAAATAATAAAAATAATAAACAATATCCCAACTTTCCATCGAGATCATTAATTAAGTTTTATCCCCACAAGCTGAAGACGAAAGAACAATTTTTTAGAGACAACCAGCCCCCTCAAGAAATAGAAAAAGAAAAAGATAAATTATTTCTGATAGCTAATACATATTACCAACAGAGACACTTTGAAGAAGAAAGTAAAAAATGGAAAATATATGAGCAAGTAGCTAGTCGTAAGGAAAACCCCTCAACTAAAGATGGAGATGATATCCTAATGATAGAAGTAGAAGAAATACCACAAGCAAGACCCTTTCGAGAGAGATACTCAGCCATTCTTAATATGACAGTAAGTGATACAGATAGCCAGAGTAATGAGAATAGTAATAGTGAGTGTAAGGAAGAAAGTAGTGAGAATAGTGAGAATAGTGAGACAGACGAAGAAGATAGAAAGAAAAGAAAATTAATAGATACTAGTATATCACCCACCTCCAAAGAAAGAATAGTTAAAATTAGTTTAAGAAAAAAGAAATCCAAGCCTAAGAAGAAAAAGAAAATGCCAATTGAGAATGACCCAAGAGCCCCAGAAGGTAGCCCAATATTATTAGTTAGTGACAATAGCAATAAGGAACCAGTAGAAAAGAAAGCAAGACCCGACACCCCAGTTGATTCAGTAGCAAAAAAACCCCGACTCTTTTCACACGTTTTTAAACCCCCGAGAGTAGCTCCCCGATCTCAACAACAACAAGAGATAGTCATTCAACATGAAGAAGAAGTCTTACCCCTTTTACCAACAACACCACCAGGATTACCAGCACCACCAGTTTTAAGTCCACGACAGAGTACACCAAGAACACCAATAGCACCACCAAGACCATTAGTAACAAGTCCGCAAATTGATCCATCACACCAAGTTGAGAATAGAGATGAACCCGAAGTAGTTGAGAATATACAAGTTAATGAGCAGGTAACACCAATGGAACAAGAAATAGTTAGAAATTCACCCTCAGTAATTCCCAAAGATATAGAGAACTTTAAAATAGAATTATTCGATTTTCCAATTATCCCGATTGAGTGTAAGTTTCATTTTAAGATCTTCCATGTAACAGCAAATATAGAAAACATAATAGCACATAGGGAATTCTTAGAAAAGAAAGCGAAACAACAGGAAGTTGAGTTAGAACATCTAATGGAAAATTCCAACGGAGATTTACGTAGAATAGTAGTTAAATTTATTAGAGAGATAGTCGACCCACTGATAGATAGTTTAAAGATTTCAAACCAGAAGCGCTTAGACAACCTTATCTTAGACCAGATGAAGGAGAAGGCCTTAAGAACAATTAGAAATAGTAAGGATAAGAATAGTTTAGAATCTATAGAGAAGGCACAGATAAGATTTGAGCGTACATTACAATTAAGGTATCAGCTAGATAAGTTAGATAGAAGATTAAATGAGAATATGCCCCCACCATCATTAAATGTACTAGACAAGTTACAGTTTCGTAGTAAGGAATTAAATAAGGAAAGTATAGATCAGTATAGTGAGCAGTGGAATAATATCTTAAGAAAGACTAAGTTAGATTTAACATCCATAATGAGAATAGCTAAGGTTACAGAGATAGATAAAGGTGAAAAAGAATATTTAGAGTTAATTGAGAAAATACCCTTAGAGATAAGATCAGCATATAGAGATTTAGCACATACGATAGAAGTAAGGAATAATAGAAAAGTCCAAAAGAAACTGAATTTTTTAGAGAGAAAGGCCAAAGGAACGATAGAAAAATAGCAAGAGCAATAGAAAGAAGTAGTAAAGCTAAGAATTTACACCCACACTATACCCCCCTAGGATTTCCCCCTCAAGTAAATAATAAGGTAATGAGTTTAGGAGATGAAGAAAGAAGGATATTAAATTATGGTCCCAAGTTTGTACCTGAGAATCCCAAACAGGCCTTAGAAAGACTAGAAGATGAGATTAGAGTAATGAAAGATAAGATAACCGAAGCTTGGAGAAGAGAGACTAAGACAATAGGTAGAAATCCTAAGAAAGTGGAAGAGTTTGCCCTGAGATTAGAAGAGGAGTTGAGAAATAAGATTAATGAGAATAGAATACAGGACCCATTAGTCGAGAAGGCCTTAGAACGTTTTCAAAAGGAACAAAAACAGGGAAAGGTAATTTTCAGACAAACAGATAAATCCAAAGTATTCCACGTAGATAGGCCTGAGACTTATATAGAAAAATCCATAGCGTATATGAAGAAGACAGACGCCTATGAGGAAGTAGAAGAATCCCCCTTAGTTAGTATGATAGAAAAGACGGAAGAGTTGTTAAGGAATTTAGTAAATAGAAAATTATTACCCGGGAAATATTTCGAGAAACTCAAACCAGAACCCCAAGATGCCGAGTTACCCCATCTTTATTATAATCCAAAAGATCATAAGGTAGGAGAACCACTTAGACCAATTGTTTCGGGAATGAAATCACCCACCCAAAAAATCTCGGCTTTTCTTGATCAAATTATTCGTCCCATTTTTGATAAGTTAACCCCATATAGTTTGAAGAATAGTATAGAATTTGTAAAAGAATTACAAAAACATAAGACTACAGACCAGACCATTGTATATACATTTGATATAACAGATTTATATACAATGATACCCCAACAGGAATCAATCTTAGCCATCTGTGAGATGTTAGGTGAGAATAAGATTAATAAGGTCAATGGAGAAATTCCCATTAATACAGTTAGGACCCTCTTTAGACATGTCTTAGAAAATGCGTATTTGCCCTCCAGTTACCCGGTCAGAATGTTAAGTATTATAAGCAAATAAGAGGAGGTCCCATGGGCTCAGAATGTACTCAAGTCTTAGCTGATGTTTATATGAGAAAGTGGGAGAAACAGTTTAAGGCAGACCAGGATAGAGAAGGGGAATTATACTTTAGATTTAGGGACGATATATTTTTAACTAGTAAGAGAAGTAAGGATGAGATGGATAAGATATTAGTAGAATTAGGTAAGAAAGATAAGAATATAGGATTAACCTTTGAGACAGGCCCCCAAGTAGATTACTTAGATGTAAGAGTAGAAGTAGAAGTTCCCAATTTTAGGACCAAAGTCTATAGAAAGCTAGCTGCCCAACCATATATTTTACCATTTAATTCAGCCCACCCACCCCATGTTATGAAGAATATCCCCTTCTCAGCACTTTTGAGAGTAGTTAGAATATGTTCCCATAGAGAAGATTTAGAAAGAGAAATAGAAAAAGTTAGAATAACCCTTCTTTTGAATAAGTACCCCCCAAATTTTATAGATAAACACTTTAAGAGATTTTTTGAAACATTGACAGGGCAGAAGGATAAAAAATTACTTCTTAGCACGAGACATAATGAGTATAGGGACAAGGTCTTAGACATAGGATGGAATAAAAATGAGAAACCCGGGATTAACTTTAGCAGAGATATCATGGTCCATTTTACGTATACCCCGAGCTTGGCCCGCTTTGGATCTAGATTTCATCAAATTTGGAAGGAAATCTTTGAGGAAACCCCACTGAGTGACATCCCAGTAATCTTTGCCCATAAGTTAACGGATAATTTAAAAAGTATACTAGTTCATAAGAAACCCCCTAAAGCAGCGATTAAGGCATTAGTTGAGAACTTAGAATAGGATTGAGATAGAGGAATAGAGGCCCC